AAGGAAGGAAGGAAGGAAGGAAGGATGTGACCAACCTCATTCAGCAGAAGAAAAACAAGCAAGTGAGAAATAGAGAGAGACAGAGGAGGCCTTGCGAGAGAGAAACCGGGCAGCGATGAGAAGCAGAGCAGGGTGTGGTGCTGAGGAATGTGAAGGCCAGATGCAAGAGGCGCTATCCTTTCCTGGGGCCGGCTGCTTTGGCCACCCCTGTGGCCTAGAACGCCTCCCAGCGTGCTTCATGTCTCAACCAGCCTGCAAGGTCTCGCGCAGTCTCTGTAGCCAAAGATCTTAAACCTAGTCAGCCCGAAAGCCTTTCCTGGGGTTCGGGGTTTGAGCCGCTCAGGCATGTCGCTGTTGTTCTTGGCTAAGATGCTTTAGACTTACGGGGGTCTTAGGGACCAAGGACTTCCAAAGGCTCGCGGAGGAAGGCGCAAAATTGCCACATGGCTTAGCCTCAGGGCAGCCTGAAGAAGAAAGACCTTGGCTAAAAAGGACACATGGAGAACCGGGGGGGGGGGCGCTTCTCCTGCAACGGCTGGAGGGCATGTCCTGTGTCAGAGAGTTCCACCTGCAACCAGGGAGCCTGCAGTACAAAAACTCGTGTTTTCTAAATGGCGGGGCTTACTGACGGAGAGTAGGGGGCCATGAAATTCCATAGTCTCACTTTTCACCCTTGCTGAAAAGAAGCTTCTTGCTCTCTGCTATTTCCCCCCCCTAAATTAGGGATAAGAATACCAGCCTACCTTACAAGACTAACAGTGAGATAATGCAGGCTGAGTCAACAAAGTTGACATGAACCCTCAAAACTATCTGGGACTGAAGCCAAAGGCCCTCTCTCCCTTCAGGGGGTGCAGAAACAATTTCACCATGTTTCTGCCCATGCCCCCCCCTTTGTTCTAGTCTTGGCAAGGTGTGTCGGAGGGGGGGTAGGACTTCTTCCAAAACCAGAGATGACTTCAGATCCCTGCCAGCTTGGGAAAAATGTCTCTCTTGGACCAAAATGGGTTTGTGGGGGCTAAGAAACATGGCAGACGTCTCTTCTATGACTCCCAGAACCTTTTTTTTTTGGGGGGGGGGAAAAAAACCAAGTTTCAAGAGATTATTGGGGGGCAGACTGATTTTTGGAAGTTTGGAAGTTGCTCTCCCCCCCAATGTACAGGAACAGCTTCAAACCCTCCAAAGCCATTTCCGCCACCCCCCCAAACACACACAAAACCCGGTAATCGCTATCCCTCCATCGCCCCAACCAGTACGACCAAGGCTCACGTACGTCAGCAGAGGGTGATGGGAGTTCCCATCGCAAGACGTTAGGAGGAGAAGACAGCAGGAAAGGCTGCATCTAAAACAGGATGCCAATGTTCAGTGTAACTGATGCTGATGCTCCTCCTGCTATTAACAGCAGGAGATATATCTATATATAAAGAAAGATTTCTCATTATTTTCCTTTTGCCATGTTCTCTCTCCAGAGAGAAGGAGGAGATGGAGAGAGAGAGAGCGAGCATGGTAAAAAAGGAAAAATGAGAAAAAATATTTTCACATGCATTTCCAGTCATTCACTAAGAAGTCTTCGTAGCACAGTCTCTGGCTCCATCCAGTGGTCTGGTAATACGTGTGAAAAATATATTTTTTTTTACTGGATGTTTTTCCTTTTAACATTTTTAATACTTTCAGGCCACGGATAAGGGAATCAGTCTATATCCCGTGGATAAGGGATCCTCCCGTATATAGGAATGAAAGACATCAATCCAGGAAAACTCTCAGCCAGCTCCTGTACTTGGAATCGAAAACGAAGGCTCATTTCGTCCTCAAGGACTTGTTAGAACATCAACCCAGGCAGAGCGTGGGAAGTGGGTAGAACGGGAGGGGAGGGAGTCTTACTCTTTCCCCTCCAGGGAAGTGGGTTGAGAGGAGACCAGGGAAGTAGATCCCCATCCTCTTCCTAAGACCTTCTCACACTGGGAAAAAAAACCCATTCATTTACTGTATAACCACGGTTCCCAACCTGGGCTCCCCAGATGTTCTTGGACTACAACTCCCAGAAGCCTCCACCCCTCACTAGGATGCAGGCCAGGATTTCTGGGAGAGGCAGTCCCAGAACATAAAGGTCGGGAACCACCGGTCCCTACAAGATGCTACGGCTCGCTATGCTTTTATCTTCCCTGGGTGTGGGGAAAGCAACTAAGGCAGCCATCCGGCTGAAAACCACTCCCGTAAATGAGGTTTGAGACGGAGGGCTTCCAAAAGCATCATCCGGCGTGCTCATCAGCAAGACGGTAACCACGTTGCGGTCAGAGAGGGCAGAGCCCCCCTGTGCATCAGAAAGTGATGGGGTTGCACACGGCGAGCTCTTTGGCGCTCCGGCTCAAATCCTGTTGCACAGGGCAGCCAGTGGCACAAGAGCAGGGCTTTTGACTCCGGGGGGGCGGGGCGGGGGGGGTGCCTTGGAGGACTCAACTCCTATGCTCCACAGGTCCCAATGGGCTGATGATTCCCGTTGCAATTTATGACGCTAAGCAGCAAAATTTCAACCCAATCTCTGAGAGAGGTTCCTGGCCGCCGGCTAGTCCACCCGCCCTGCACGCTCTTCCATCCACAAGAGAGAGGGAAGGGAACGGCCATCTCAAGGTGGCAGAGAAGAAGCCGCTTCTGCCTTCTTGCAGCTGCTCCAACATCTTGGCCGATGCTCAGCCCGTAGTTAACCGGGTTCATCAAACCACCACCCCTTTTACTTGCAAGTCGGCTCTCTTCAGCACCCCTGTTCTTAAGGCACGCTCTTTCGCCTGGATTTCCCCCCCTCAAGTCATTCCACAAAAAGGCAGCACCTCTTTCTTATACTCCCCCACCCCCCGTGTGGCTACATTTATGCTCCACCATCATCCCTCCCAGCCCTGTTTTATTATTCGGTTTTTTCCCCCAAGCAAAGACAACAGGGATCAGGGCTACCACGGGTAGACCCCCTTTACAGGAAGGAGCGGTCCCGTGAGAGCCATGGGCGGAGGTGAACGGCCACGTCTGGAGCAGTGATCTGGAATCCATTAATTCCATGGCAAAAGGTTTGAAAGAGAAAGGAGCCTTTTGAGAGAGAAAAAGGAGTGCCCACCCACCTCCCCCCAAAAAGATGCATCTGCTTTCACACCAAACGCGCTTTGGCTTCCTGGATTTCTCTTCTCTCCCGGCTCTCGAATGCGTTTGCTTTCTTTCCAAGCCCAAAGAGCTGAGCCCAGACGATGCCCTCTCCTTCCCTCCGTGGCAGCTACCTGTGTTGCCTCCTGCAATGCCAGAGCTCACCTGCTCCCCCCACCCCACCTCTTGGGACTTTCAAAAGTTGCTTTTTGGGGGGGGGGACAGGGAGGCGACCGAAACCCAAGAGCGTAAAAGCCCCGCCACGAAGGCAGACGGACGTAGCCGTGGTCTGTGCCACTCACGGCATCGGGTTCTTCCTCTGCAGCACCCACCGATCCTAGAAAGAAGGAGAGCCACCCGCGACCACCAATTAACACCCCCCCTCCACCCGCTCCCCTCCTCTCTGCCCAGCCGCGGCCAAGGACTCCCCAGGTACCTCTATCAGCTCCTCGGTCCAGACTTTTTTGTCCATCTTGAGACTCCGCACTTTGGTGACGCCGGGCCCCAGCCCTCGGTGCTCCCCTGCATCGGTGAGCCAAAACAAAAGAGAAGAAAATGGGTCACACAGAACAACGGTCATAGAAGAGCTGAACAGGAAGGGACTGTGACAAACCCAGACCTACTGGGATATGTCACACAGTTACACTAAGCTGCCACCAACCATTCCCTATAAGAAGTCACACAGACCAGGGATGGATTTTTAAACAAATAAAAGAACAAGGTTTATTTAAATCACACACAGGGAAAATAAAATGATTAGGTGAATAAGATATAGTAACGTGGCTTAGTCTCATTCATACATGCATACAGTTTGGTTCACACAGAACCCTTAACTTGAAGCACAGACCCTGAACCTATCAGTTCTGGCTAACCAACAGACACCTGAACCTATCAGGTTGGTACTCTGACACACAGTAGTACCCTGTCTGACACACAGACTCCCACACCAGCTTCTTCTTCCCAGCTGCTGCTTCTTCACATCCCAGCGTCTCCTAAACTCTTCACACACGCTCCACATATATATACAGTACAGCCCCTCCTCCTGATGTCCCGCCTTCCACTCCCCATAGGATGGAACTTTCCCTCCAAACCCATGACAGACAGGTAACATCAGTGCTGCATGTAACAGGGACCTATGAGGCCATCAAGTCCAACCCCCCCGGCTCGGTCCAGGAATCCCAGGTCAAGGCAGATCTGATAGATGGTGGCCCAACTTTCTCTCGAAGGCCTCCAGCGTTGGAGCGCTCACCACCTCCTCCCAGAGTCATGGCTTCCACTGTCGTCCTGCTCTAAGAGTTAAGAGCTTTTTCCTGGTATTTAGCCTAAGTGCTGACCCTAAAGGTCTCCCACAGCCAGGCCTTGCATATCGGGGTGGAGTCCCTCAGGCCATGAGGCCCAAACGTGCCCCACCACATTCCGCATACAGGTGGCCAAGCTCCCTACTCTAGGATGCCAGATTTCCCTGCTTCTTCAGCATTTGCACAATTTTTAAAAGCTTGAAAAAAATCCCTCCCTTAAGGCTTAGCTTTTTTGCACCCATGGCTTCAAAGCTAAGACCTGCTGGTGTTTTTAGCCCCATCCTTTCAGTCTCCGGCCTCACCCGCCCCTAGAGTTTGGCCCTCGAGAAATCTTTGATCCTGAGCTTGTCCCTTCCCCCAAGGCTGATAAGTTTCACCCCCTTGAAAGCCTTGCAAGCTTCTCCTGGCGCTTCTCCCTTGGGAGACAAAATCTTTAAACGTGCTCCCCCGTTTCCAGGGCCCAGTTCCCTCTCTGCCTGTCCCTCCTCTTTCTCCTCCTCCTCCTCCTCCCACCCGCCCTGGGACCGTACCGGCACATCTCTTGCAGATGACCACACAGAGGTTGATGGAAGCCCAGTCGGGCTTGGGGAACCCACAGTCCGCACAGTAGCAGTTGGCCTCGGCCACCCAGATCCTCTCGGCCACCTCCGAGTTGGAGAGGGCCTCGGCCACCGACTGCTGCATGGCCTCCACCCACTCCTCCTTCTCCTGGTCAGATTCTGCTATGAAGCTGGAAGAGAAAAAGCAGACAATGGTTGCACCGGGGAGCTGAGGAAGAGGGCCCATCACCTATTGCCCAGGTGGCTGGGGCACCTGTCGGAGCGTAGACTTCACCGGCCACACAAGAGTCTTGGGAGAACCTTACTTCTTTGGATTCCAAAACTGCTGTGCTGGCTGGGGGGGGGGGTTGTCCTGGGAGTGACTGCCGAAGGAAGTAACTTTTCCCTGCTCTGGGTGTGTAATGGGTTCAAAGTTTGGCTTTTCATTGCTATGGACTGTCAGTTCAGAGGCTGGCTACAGGAGTATGTTCCAATGGGCGAGTAAAGATCGAGAACTCATGAAATGCAGAAAACTGGAATACTCGAGACCACTTCAGGAAAAAGGAAATGTACAGGTTGTTACAGCTGATCATTCGAGGCAAAATAAATAGGGGGAGTGCAAGAAGTAGAATCCGGGATGCCTGGTTTGGGCAGAACCCAACATCGTTGCTCAGAGCTGCCTTCTCCAAGCAACTCGGAATACTGATGATGAGGATGATGTCCAGCCTCCAGCATGAATGGAATGAGAAGAAGGAGGGGGATACTATTAAGTTTTACATTGCAACTAGACAAATAAAAAAAAGAATCGCAATATTGATTTAAAAACCACTGACTCATTAAACATTCGTCCCTTTGTATTCGTGAGTTCCAGAGACCCTGACAAATACGAAAGGATGAATATTGCTCCATTTTTATTCGTCCACCATAGGAAGAGAAGGAAAGCTAGCCTTCCCTCTCTGCCTATAGCTTTCCTACTCTGCCGATCAGCTGACTGGCAGGCCCATAGGCAGGCAGCCACCCCCACAGCCAGTCCTCCGCCCCCTTTCCCTCCCTCCCTTAGTAGCTGCCATCATCTTGCGCCACCGCCACCCATCGCCGGCTGGTGCAGTGGCCTTCACAGCCACGGACCTGCTGTAAGAGACACTGGCTGCCCTTTGCAAAGATGGCGGCTGCAGCTTCTTTTAGGGTGGGGAAGCTGCAGCCACCATCTTTGCAAAGGGCAGCTCGGGTTCCCTTAAGGGAGACCATAGCAGTAAAAGCCGTTGAAGCGAGTGCCAGTGGATGTTGGCTGCAGAGGCAGCTGTGGCGCAGGTGGCCACGGATGGTGGCACCGGCACAGACTGCAGTAGCCAAGCGAGGGAGGGGGGCAGGCTGTGGGGGGGGGAGGATCCGCTTTTTTAAAACCCAGACAAACTGACGAAGCGATTCATAGTTCGTCACTTCATGGGGAGGAGATTCACGGTTCGTCAACCTTGACGGACCACGAACCAGGACAAACCCACCATTTTGATGGTTTGTCACCATCTCTAGTTGTAACCTACTACTAAACCTTCAGGAGGAGAACGATCATGTTGCTGCTAATGATAAAAACAATGATGAACACAACAGAAAAGGGACGCCAAAAGAAAAAGAAAAATCCTGCAGTAGGATAAGAGAAAATCCGTCCGTCCGTTCACACGGTGATTCTGGCCAACGGGAGACAGTTTTGAAAAGACCAGGGGAGCAGCGGAAAGGCCATGCCAAGTTTTGCGAGGGGTAGAGATGACTCACGCAACCAGCGGGGAACCTGAGGCAGTGAAATGTAGAAGCCCAACGCCAGGAAGCAAAGAATTTCTAAGGGTCTACGCTGCTTAACTGAGAACTTGGTGGGGTTGCCTCCCTAGACCATCATGGTATTTTAACCCCCTTAAAGGGCTAATTGTGCCCCCAGGTGCCTTGGAAGGACACGGTTGCCCATTTAATTTTAATTCTTCCTCGGAGGCAGCAAATGTGGCTTGTTGACTTTAACCAGCCACCTTTTGCCCTACCTGGACCCACCTTGAACCTCTCCACCCAGGGACATCTTTGAGCTGTCAGTGGTACCTGAATATCCGGTAGGGCGTTGTCAAGTCAAACCCCCTCCTGTCCACATCCTTGACGTTCCCGACATTCATTTCGATGCAGGTGATCCCAATTCCCAGGCGGAACTCCTAAACCAAGACGCAAGAAATGCCAGAGGTCGCTCAACCCCCCCCACACACACACACACAACACAAGCTGTTGTACCATGAGAATCTTCACGGAAAAACAAATTACCATATTTTTCCATGTAAAAGACAATACTTTTTCCTAAAATCATTGGAGGAAAAATTGAGGGTCGTCTTTTACATGGAAGGAAGCTGAGGAGAAACCCACGTGGTAGCAAAACTGCCTACCCTGTGCTCATCAGTGGGGTCTGGAGGCAACTCCGTGCCATGCTGGGACCCCACCCCCTCCATTTCTGCTTCTGCTGCTACTTCACAGATCTGAAGCAGCAAGCACTGTTCCTCCTCGCCTGCAAGCGGATCCGGAGTGGGGCGTGCATGCATACCACGGGGCTTAGGAAATGGTGGGGTAAAGCAGCGATGAAAGGGCTGCAGGATCGCAGCCTTTGATCCTGCAGCCCTTTCGTCGCTGCTTTCCCCCTCCACTTCCTAAGATCGCTGCTTTCCCCCTACACTTCTGCAGCCCTTTGAGCCTACTTTTGTGGGGCTTAGGAAGTGGAGGGGGAAAGCAGCGATCAAATTTTCTTATTTGGGGTTGGAAAAGTGGGGGTTGTCTTATACGTGGGGTCATCTTATACATGAAAAAATCATAAAACAGTCAGAATCTACCATCAGGAATCAGGGCCGGGGATTCCAGTGACAAGCACTGCTTTCCCAAAGGGCTGGATCCCACAGGTCACCTTGGTAGGTACATACCTCTAGGTTTTTGTAGAGGACAACCTTGTCCCCAGCCACCACCACGTACAGCTTGTTTTTAAAACCCCGCAGCTCCAAGAGACCACATTTGTCCACGGAGTCGAAGCTGCCGCCCGTCGGCTGGAGGACAGACGCTCTCTCCAAACGCCGCGATTTCCTTTCGTCCACCGTCTTCTGAAGGGCCTTGATCCACTCATTCCGATCCGCTGTGGGCAAGCATGTCTGGTCAACAATGAGGATCCCTTGAACCTGGTGTCCAAAGTGTGCGAGGACTCGCCCTAAGCCAGACCTCCCCAGAGAAGGAGCTTTCCAGAAAACAGGAGCTCTCCGTGAAAAGGCACCTTCTCATGTCCTTGATGCCCTGTTTTGGAAGGCTCTCATGACAAATCCTAATATCTGGGCACTTTGAAAGTGGAGGAGTGGTCCCCAGATACTTTGAGGTGTTCAAAGCTGAAAACAATGTAATTTTTTTGGGGGGTGGGGAGGGAGGAATGAAGAAAGGAAAGCCAAAGGGAAACAAGAGCATTTATCCCCACCAGACACCTCCCTGGCTCATGTCTCTCTCAATCATAGATTGTAAAGCCTCAGGGGCAGAGACCTTTCCTGTTCACCTTCTAGCCCACCGCTGGTGCTGAAAAGAGTAAAAGTGAGCGATGGACATGCAAACCATTTCCCAAGAGGTCAACCTCTCTCAGAAGGAAGACAGGAAACCTTCACATCTGATTTACCACTGCAGACCGAAGAGGAAGATGTGCATTTTCAAAGGAATGGAAAGAGAAGGAAGGAAGGGATGAACAGAGCTCTGGGAAGAGTTTCTATCCATGGTGGAACCCCCCCCCCCCCGCATCCCAGGTCTGAAAATACCCAGGCAAGCCCATGGCTTTACTAGGCAGCCATCCACCCTCCTGCTCCAATCTTCAGCTTGCACCCAACCCCGGAGGCGAAACACTCTCCGTCTCTTGCCGCCACATCTCCAAATAGGCAGAAACCTTCCCCAGGGGTGAGCCTTGTGGCGGGAGGGGGTCTCACCTACCATCACTCTCCGCCCGGAAAGCAAAAGTCCTGTTGTTTGTGATAACCTCGAATTTCTGGTCCCCAATACTAGTCACCCGGGTGACCGAGGACACGGGGATGAGTCGTTTGGAGTAAACGTCCTGAAATGCAGAGGAAGACACCATTTTCGAAGGGAAAAACAGAGGAAGGGAGAGAGGGAGGGAGGAAAAGAGAGTGGAGGAAGTAAGAAAGTCAGGAAGAGGAAGGAAAGAAGGAAGGAAGAGAGGGAGCGAGGGAGGGAGGGAGGGAGGAAGAGGAGAGAGGGGAAGGAAGGAAGGAAGGAAGGAAGGAAGGAAGGAAGGATTGAGAGTTCACACATAACAATACCATATAAAGGTTTTTTTTCTAAATAGTTAATAATTTCCACAGTGAGTACTTATTGGCTGGAATCCTATTGGGCAACTTCAGGCTGTACAACTGTGATGATATCATCAACCATGGCTGTTTCAGAGAATTAAAAGGGAACTCTTTAATGCCCCACAATTACCAGCAGTCTGGGTGGTGGCACTTTTCAAGTGTTAAAGACTTCCCTACCTCATTCCATGATTCCCAAAGACTTTCTCAGGATGAAATGAATCCCTAGGGATCCTTGGAACCTGGGAGTGAAATAGAACACTTTCATTTTCCCTGAAATTGCAGTGGCTGATGATGTCATAACAGTTCTGCAGTATAAATTTGGATAACAGGATTCTGGCTGCTACTTCAACATATTAGGAACATTTTCTCATCTCACTTTTCAGTCCATAATGAAATTAAGAGCGTGAAAAATACTTTTTCTGACTACCACACCAAGTGACTGTACTGGTCAGGAAATTTGGGGAGATGTACTTCAAAAAAGTAACTTTGACAACCTCAAGGCATTTAACATCCATTACTTAAAACATAAGTCGGTGGGGGACGAAAACCAGGCCCGAAGGAGGAGAGGGGCTTCGGGGGGAGTTCCGCTCACCCTTGCGGAGGGTTCTTGTCCAGCCATCCTGCCTTGACCACGGTGGATGACTCTGCTCTTTCTATCCTGTCGCTGTGGAGGCTCATCATGGCAAAGGACGGGCTGCTCCCGGGATAGGAAGAGTTCGGCCGGCCGTCCTTCCAGTGGTTGTGGCGGAGGCTGGAACAAAACGCAAAGCGGACCCGCCGGTCGGAGCGCTCTTTTGCAAAGGAGTCTCGATGCAGATTGTGAACATTAGGATTGTGCATCGAGACGTTTCTCGGGCCCATTGCTTTCGAGGTTTTTTTTTTTCTTTCCCACTGGAACCCCAGATTTTCACAGCCCGCTAAAGGTCCTCCAACGATTTTCCCTGAAACCCTGCCCCTGAGTCTTTAGATGCTGCAGAGAAAGGGCAGCTAATCTTGGCAGGATTTCCTGATCAGAGCCCGTCCTGTAAATTTCAGGTTCGCAGCTTTGAAACTGACCAAGGCATGATCCTGAAATTGACCATCACAGGATGGTCAGGCGACGGGAGCAAACCCAGAGGGGGGGGGAGGTTGGGTTGCCTTTCTAGTTGAAAAGGATTCTTATCAGAGGCTGAAAAGGGAGAAAACGACGGAGCTTGGACATATATGGAGGCGTATAAAACTATGCAAGGGATGGATATCAAGTGGAGAGAGGGAAGCTCTTGCCCCTCTCGTGCAAGACCAGAACCGGGGAGACATCGACTCCAATGGAAGGTTGGGAGAGGGAGAACAGACCAAAGAAAATCTTTCTTGACCCAGCGTGTGGTTAGTCTGTGGAACTCCTTGCCACAGGACGTGGGGATGACATCTGGCCTAGAGGCCTTTCAAAGGGGATTTTCCTGGAGGAAAAGTCCATCGCAGGTGACAGACCATGATGGGGATATATAATCTGCAGGTTTCAAAGAAAGGGAACTCCAAATGCAAAAGGCAGGAGAGGGGAATCAGGAGACAGGTATATCTAGTGGTCTTGTGGGCTCCCAGAGGCATCTGGTGGGGGCTACTGGAGATACAGGGACTTGGACTAGAGAGGGCCCTTGGTCTGATCTAGCACAGGGCTCCTCATCTTGGGTTCTTATATGTTCTAATGTACAGTGGTGCCCCGCTTGACGATTACCTCGTTAGGTAAGGAAATCGCTTAATGATGAGTATTTTGCTATCGCTAGAGCGATCGCAAAACAATGTTTGTATGGGTTTTTTTCATTTAACGGGAACCGATTTTTCACTTAATGACGATCAAAACAGCTGATCGTCGGGTTTTCAAAATGGCCACCCGCTGCGCAAAATGCTCCCCGCTGTGTTTTAGGATGGATTCCTCACTATACAGGCACTGGAAAATGGCCGCCCTATGGAGGATCTTCGCTAGACACTGAGGTATTTCGCCCATTGGAATGCATTGAATCGTTTTTCAATGCATTTCAATGGTTTTTTTTACTTTCGCTTGACGACGATTTTGTTCTACAGCGATTTTGCTGGAACGGATTACCATCGTCAAGCGGGGCACCACTGTAAGTCATGGGGAGGGCTACATCTGATGATTCTGGCAATCATAGCCCCCCCAATAATAATAATAATGATAAGAATTTTTCCGAGGTCTCCTGACATCACACCAGCAGGACCGGTTGAAGTATCTCGAGTCAGCTGAAGCATTTTGTGGGTGCCAATCTTTCCTGACACAGGACAGCCGATCTGAAGCCTTCTAGGAACAGACCGTTCCTGTTACCCTCCACCTTTCGCCCGGCTTTTAGATTTGGGAATAAAACAAGCCTAGCAAGAAGGCTGACGTTTCAAAAGTGCTCTCTCACCAGGGGGAAAAAGCCAGCCCTGGTTAAGCCTTGCCTGTAGAGAAGATCGCTGAACGATTTCAAAGACTGGGTGTCAAACTTTCGGGGAGAGAGTTTTAGGGAGGGGTGTTTTGAATGAATGAAAGTGAGGCTCAATGGGGGGGGCGAGCAAAAGGCAGAAGAGGATGGGAGAGGGAGAGGAAGTCTGAGCAATCAAGTGATGGGGCCCCAATCCTAACACGCTTCTGGTTTCAATCGGGGAAACAGTCTGCGCTAGCCTCGGATGGAAAATAAACAGTACATTCCAGATAAAGGCTCCGGGGTGCTTTTTCCTGCAACCCAAAGTGTCCAGCTTTAGCAAAGTCCTCAAAAGGGAGGGTTTAAGAAAGAGAACGCTAGCTAAATTTTGGCATCGCTCCTGGGTCGCAAAGCCAGAATCTTCCTCTGTATTATCTTACTGAGGAGTGCAAAGGTAACCCCCATGGCGCTCTTCTTGTCTGTCTGCTCTCCTCCAAAGGAAATTAAAGGCAGCAAGGTGGACCCCCCTCCCGGGGGGGGCAGACTCTGGGAGAGGGCGTGAGAGGCTGCCGGTTTCTTTATGAGGTTTTTATTGGTTTGGGGGAATATTTCCAGTATGTTGTTTTCATAAAGCCCAGCTACCATGTTTCCCTGAAAATAAGACAGGGTCTTATATTAATTCTTGCTTCAAAAATGCAGTAGGGGATGTCTTTTTCAGGGGATGTCTTTTTTTTCCTGTAAAGCAATCTACATTTCTTCAATTACAGCCATGTCATCCTCTTCTGGTTGCTACACAAGGGTGGAGAGCGGGGTTTCAATTAACAGTGGCTTATTTTTGGGGTAGGACTTATATTACGAGCATCCTGAAAAATCCTACTAGGGCTTATTTTCAGGTTAGGTCTTATTTTTGGGGGAAACAGGGTACTTGAGTGTTTTGGTTCCAGTCTGCAAACCGAAGATGGGAGCTCAACAACCAGTTGTGCAGGTTTTGCATAGATCCTCCAGAACACTGAAGCGTTCATTATTCGGGGGACGACTTCCCCTCCCAAGCTGGTACAACCACGTAGGCTAGGGGATGCTCAAGTTCTCACCCAGAAAAGGAGCTTCTCCAATTCTGCATCAGCCCTTTCCCAAAAATCTTTATTTGTTTTGTATCATTTATAGGTTGCCTTTCTCCCTGTTGCTAAATGTTAAATGCTAAAGCCAATGACACTGAAAGAACAATAAATGAGAGCTTAAAAAAAGGAGAGATGCAATAGTAGTTTAGAAGGAAGGAAGGAAGGAAGGAAGGAAGGAAGGAAGGAAGGAAGGAAGGAAGGAAGGAAGGGAGACTGACCAACCAACCGACCAACAGACAGACAGACAGACCGACAGACAGACAGCATCAATGCGTGTCATCCACACAACACAAGCTGAGAATCAAAACTCATGGGGCATAATCCATTAAGGGGCCAGAAAGCAGAGAGAACTTGAGATGATCCAAGCCACACAGCAAGAACGGGTCAATATCTACAATCCAATCTGTCCCAGAGGATAATTTCTTCCCTTCTGGTTCACTGGACAGGACAATAATGCTCGGAAAAACTGAAGGCGGCAGGAAAAGAGGAAGAGCAAATATGAGGTGGGTTAAAGAAATCCACAGCCTTGCGTCTGCCAGAGCTGTGAGCAAGTCTGTTCTGGAGGTCAATCGATCCATCCATCTATCAGAAGACTGGGAAGTTGCTTCTGAGATGTAATCTGACCCTGCTACTTGTGATGATGATTTTAGTTGTTTGTTGCCATTATTCATGACAATGTTTCAAAATGTTTCCCTTTGCAGGATGAAAAGCCTACCCTGGAAACATCTCCTGTGAATATGGGACATGGCTTTTCAAAACTCTGTTTGTTGTTGCTACTCCTTCTGGGTGTTTCTTAAAAATCTATTCTTACTATTATTCATTCCACTGTTCTTAAAGGTTGTGGTGTTAGCGTGGCTCTGTTTGCACTGACTCTACAGGCGCAAAACACTGAAACATTTGTTGTTAAAAAAATCTCCAAAAATGCTCTTAAGAATTAAGTTGACACGGTATCGATAAAGTCATTCTTTGCCACTCCGTTAAGTCACTTTGTTCCCATTCCCATTCGTTTCGAAATAAAACTTCACTGGACCTTTGTTACTTTCCCTCTAAAGTAATTTGTGACAGGTAACTAACTACACTGCCTGCAACCTGTTCCTTTTTCCGGGCTCCGTGGAAGAAGAAAAAAAAAGAAGCAACGGGTGAATTTCATTTCCGAGTCTCCCCATTCCTGTCCATCAACAACAGATTTTCGAAAGTCGACCGAACCCCACACACACACACACCCCTGCAACCCCCTCCCCTTTGCCCCAAGTTACCTTCTGCCCCCCAAGCTCCTCATCTGGATGGCAGGATCCCAGCAGAGTGGAGGCCCCCCAAGAGCACAGGGAGGGGGAGAGACCATCTGGGTCTGTTGCTGCCCTCCTGGATTGAACTGCAGATGCTGCCCTTGAGGGAGGGCAGTCTCTCCCCCCCCTCAGGGGGAGGAGGAGGGGGGGTTTAATGAATACAGCACTCCTCCCTTGCTCCACTCGGCCTGGCCTGCGTGGGGCTTCCCCCAAACCATCAGACCCCTAAGCGATCGAGGCAGAGAAAGGAGCCTATAGATCCACCAGGAACAACTTTAGCCGAGGGGCTGAGCTTGGCAGGGTGACTCTTTTTGGACTTGGTGGGGGGGCGTTGGAGAGGTGCCATCCAAAATAAGGAAATCTGCCAAGCTTCTCCCAAGTCTGCAAGCCTAAGAGGTAATGCCCGACACACTCACTCAGTGACACGGGGGCCCTTCTTTCCTGGGTAATAAATAACTAAAGAAACCACCTCCGGCCTGGGGGGCGGGGAAGTGGGGATGGCGAGGACTCAGCTTTCCTGGAATATAACAGAGGCAAACTGGAAAGCCGTCTCAACACACACACCGTTTACACACACACACACACACACACACACACACACACACACACACACACTGTTTCCCAGCATCTAATTCAAACTCTGCAAAATGGGTGAGCTCAGAGCTTTGCGCTCCCCGGACAACTTTCCACGTTCACTGACCCTTGAAACATTCCTTAGACAGAGAATCGGATCTTGGATTCTACACTTCAGGGGATTGGGCGAAGGGAAGGGGCTTCCTCGGGCTTCATCAAAACGTCTGTGGGAGGATGATTCCCGGCAGAAATGCAGGGGATGGCACTAACACAGCTCCCCTGTGGGCCCACAGCACCCCATGATGTGGGGAGCGGACGCGAGGGATCAGGGTAGGCAATCTGGCTGCAGCAGACAAGGTGTGGGGGTTCAGCTAAAGCTGAACTGCACCTCCTCTGAGCTATTCTCTACCCCAAAAGGAGAAAGAAAAAAAAATCCAGGCGCCTATTCCTGGCTTCTTCCCCAGCAGCCGGGAACCCCACTGAGTATCCCTGACCACCGATGCAGGAGTGGCCCCCCCATTTCGGAAATAAGCAAACTGAAAGACTGGGAAATGAAACCCCAAAACTGCTGAGCCATCAGCTGTTCCTCCCAGAAGCTTTCCCCTCCAGTCTTTGCAAGGGTTTTTTTTCCGCCTGATTCTTCCCCTGGCACAGAGGACAGAACAGAAAGGAAGAAGCAAGCCCCTCTCTCACCTGGAGGGCGATTCGGCCTTGAAGTAGTCCTCAATCAACTCATCTTCACTGAGCAGGCTGCTGATCCGGGCCACGCGATGGGTCTCCAGTGGGGTGGTCTCCCCCTCCTCCTGCCAAGAGAGGACAGGATCCGGCACTTAGTGCTGAAGTCAGGCTCAGGCCCCGGAGTTCAGAAAGGAAGAAGCAAGCCCCTCTCTCACCTGGAGGGCGATTCGGCCTTGAAGTAGTCCTCAATCAACTCATCTTCACTGAGCAGGCTGCTGATCCGGGCCACGCGATGGGTCTCCAGTGGGGTGGTCTCCCCCTCCTCCTGCCAAGAGAGGACAGGATCCGGCACTTAGTGCTGAAGTCAGGCTCAGGCCCCGGAGTTCACACCCGTCGCCCCCGGGGAGCAGAGATGCCAAAAAGGAGCAGAGAAACACCAGCCTTCGATTCCTTCCTCTTCGGCTGGAGAGCCGGAGAAGCCTCGCGTCACCTTTAATGCGAACCGATTTTGTTCAGCAAAAAAGGTCAAAGACTCTATCCAACGTCTTCAGCTGCCTCTGAAAAATGAGGCTGAAAAATCTTGTTCATCTTTACGACAACAGAAGGCCAAGACGCTACCGAATATAAAACACTGCAATAATTGTGCTGGAACATCTGCCTCTCCTAGCTGTATTTCCCTCTTAACAGCAGATCCACCTTCAAAGCTTCAAAAAGTAATCAGAGATTCGTCACTCATTACCTTCTGGCCTCTTACTGTCATCTACAATGTAGGGTAATTTAAACACCTGCCATGGTCATTGTTTACAGAACAAAACCGGGTGGATTAAAAAAAATGACTTTTTTAAAAAAATCAAAATGAGTTAAATACACATGTAAAGGTAAAAGGTTGCCCTTGACATTTAGTCCAGTCATGTCCGACTCTAGGGAGCGATGCTCATCCTCGTGTCCAAGCCGTAGAGCGAGCGTTTTGTCCGAAGACTTTTTCCGTGGTCACGTGGCCAGCGTGACTAGACACAGAATTTTTTTTAAATTTTAAAAGTCACGTGGCCAGCGTGACTAGACACTGAAATTTTTTAAATTTTGAAACTGTAAATCATTAAAAATAACATCTGATTTTCAAAATTCAAATAATGATTTAAATCAGTTTGATTTAAAACCAATCCACCTTTTTTAAATCATTTTTTTAAAATCTGATTTTCAAAATTCAAATAATGGTTTAAATCAGTTTGATTTCAAACCAATCCACCTAGGAACAAAGCCTTTGAGAAAGGAAGTGAATATCAAATAGGGGGTCTTCAAGGTCATCACCAATTTAAAAAAAACCTCAAAGGAAAAGCTCTAAATATCAAGCGGAAGTCATGATCAGGTATGAAATACCACACTGACTCATACGATTCACAGCTGTTGCCTCCAAGCCAAACCAGCCACCGGCTCACTATATAAGTGCCAGGTATAACTCTGTGAAAATCTGCCACGTGATCTCACTCTTATGTCTGAGGAACTGCACAACGTTCCACGAAAGCTCACATGGAAACAGAGCACTCTGTAAAGATGGCACAACGTTTTCGTCTTTACTTTTAAAATTTTATTTCATTTTTTGCCTGATGCGGCAGCACAGACAAACACAGCTGCATTTACTAAAACAAGACTTCACATCCCTTTTGCTCCAATGGGCTCCCGAGTCTCTGAAGCATAGAAGAATTCAAGATTTCTGAATTCCCCGACCGAAGGGCACACAAGTTATTTATTTATTAAGTACTGATTCAACTTTTAGACCGCCCAGCTGGCTTCGGCCACTCTGGCTGGCAACCCACTTTTGACGCCTTCCCTCTCCCGTTTTCCCTTTAAAAAATTCGCTCGTTCTCCAACAACCGCTAAGAAATCAGGGCAAAATTCGCTCGTTCTCCAACAACTGCTAAGAAATCAGGGCCAGATTGTCCAGGGAGACCGAGATTTCCGGACACTTGCGTCCATGTGCTGCCGTTTTGGACGTCAGATTTGACTCCATCCGTCAAACCTTTTGGGCAGAGAGCAGCTTAACCAGGTTGTGCAGGGATGATGGTTAGCGGGAGCTAATACAAAACTGTCCTTCCACCTGATCCCTCCCCGGTCTTCTCCTGACCCACACTGGGTACACGGTGGGGAGCTCCACCTCGGTGGCCCAGATGTTTTCCTCTAGGTATCTCAAGATGCAGGGGGGCAGCTCATAACAGCTCACGCGCTGAGTCTCCGAGATGGCAGAATCACACTTCTATTCTGTTCTTTTGCTATTGCAAAGGCTTGACAAACACCCGCTGCACCTCCAAAAACCACCAATTTCTGTTTTTTTACCAAGGACTCTAGCAGCCAAACCCAGAAACCTCTGGATACGAAGGACACCACTGTTCTGAACTGGGGTGCAATCATGCTCTCTGCGCACCTCTGCGCTAGGGGCAAAGATCGATTCAGCAGAGGCTTCCCTTCCCTGCGTAGGAACATATACGGTTTTTTTTGTTTTTTTTTTTTGGAACCAGCCTTCCTTCTTATGGGATGAGGAATGGAAAAAAGGAAGGATGTTTCCTTCAAGAAAACACTAGCCAGCTATGGGTCTAGAATTCTTTCAGTTTTGAAAAATTAACATTAAAAAAAAAAGTCTGGACTACGAATAAGAGGGAACATCTTTTAAACTGATCACATTCTTTTTTCACAGAACAGGGGCCAAGGCCAGCCTGAAGCAAAGACAGCATAGATGCCATCGGGCGCAGTGCCTGGACCGGCATGGCAAACTGGCACAGTTCCATTCATGTGGCAATAATAGACAGAAAAGAGAGAGGCTTGTAAGTGCAAGGGCCCTCTCCCTCCAAGGCTGGGTCTTCTCTGTCCCTACCCCACCACAAAACCCATCTGCTGGAGCATTAATGTGACAGGAAGGTTGCAAGACCCTTCTCTGTTCTCTGGCAGCAAAACCACCGGGCCGAGCGCTCTCTGAGAAGCGGAGGGGCCCTTTCCCTCCCCCTGCCACGTCAGCAGAAAAACCGAGGACAGGTTACGAACTGGGGATTCCAGAGGTTGCAGAGAAATGGGAACTGGGCAGAGGAGAAAGTCAGAGTTTCCTCTGCTGTGTTTAAATACAGAACAGGGGTGCAGCACGTGATTCAACAGAGCATGTGAGAAAACTCATTCTCCGGGAAACGTATTACTCTATTTAAAAAAAAAAAAGGGGGGGAGAGGAAGGTCAGCAGAAAGCAATCACTGCCACCACTCCGGCCTTAATCCCTCAAGTTAGGGTGGACAAAACGTGACTACTTTGGACTGGAGGCCAGGTTTTTTTTTGGGGGGGGGAGGCCATGTCAGAATTCTGAGTGAGTCCTAACAGTAATCAATGCCCACGCCCTGTTTTGCTTGCTATGTAATGATGTCCAAGGCCAGATGCAGAGGACAATCCTATGCCATGACAAACAGATATCTTTTGTTCTTCTAGGGAGCATTGTCTCTAATGACATGCTGAACATATCAACAGTTTTGACCCTGCTCTTCCCAAACGCTGGAGCAGGGAGCAAATACGGAAGAAGGAAAGACACTCCTGCTTGCTTGCCAATGGGGGAAAGGGGTCACGGGACCAAGTGGGTCAAACCGCAGGCAAAGAAAGGGAGAGATTTCAAACACAGCACAATATTAAGGCTGATCCTAAAAAATATACATACTGTAAAAATGCCACAGGTTTGGGGAAGAGGGAAGGATAATTTCCCAACACAAGTGCAGCCCAATTTATCAAGAGGCTGTTGAGAAGAACTGCACCTTTGAATAGGATTTAAAAATATTAAATACAATGAGGCTCGACAGCTCCTTGATAGGGAAATGGGAATGATGAAGCTCTGGTACCAACTCAAGGCCCCCACATGGGTGACACCATCACAGGTCCCCAAGAATGTCACGCACAACATCAAGGGCTCTCTTGCTGCTTCGCCTGCCAATGTGATCTCTTTGCCATCTCTGGCCAACCTAATCCCTCCTGACAGACATACTGTATTACAAACGGCCCTCTCTCTGAACCAGAGAATCAACGGAACTAAATCTGACATCAGGAGTGGCCACACACAAAAACCTGTTGCAGAACATCTGAGCACCTAATGACGAGCTCAAGCAACAGGAAGCCAGATTTCGGCGGAATCTCATTTAGCGCAGTATGACGAGGGAACCCATGATTCTCGAGAGGGGGTGAGCGCTCCGACATGGGTGGCCTTCAAGGGAAACGTAGACAACGCCCTGGCCAATCTGGTTCAATTGGGATCCCTGCACGGAGCAAGGGGGGGTTTGATCAGGATGGCCTTTAGAGGCCCCTTCCAACTCAATTATGTTCTGACCAACGGGGTGTCCGGGACATCCACATCTTTCTCTCCTGACCCCTAGTTCGTTTCTGCACCAATACTGGGTATCCTCTACATTCGTGGTTCCCAAACTGGGTTCTTGGACTGCAATTCCCAGAAGCCTTCTGTGCTGGCTGGAGTTTCTGAGCGCTTCAGTCCGAGATGACCTCAGGCTGCCCAAGGCTGGGAGCCACTGGCCAGAGCCATGACCAAGTCTAAAATCCCAGTCCGATTCCCCTAGTTTGCCACTTGTGTCAACTATGCTAGTGTTACCTTTTACAGAGATCAAGGACATTATTCACAGTCCTGTTTTTTTACTAATTAATCTTATCTGTATCCCTACTTGGAGACAGGAAAGATCCCATTCAAATACAATAATGGGTGGTTAAGGTCCCACAATGTTTGGCTCTCTCTCTTTTTTCTGTCCTCCTGCTTTTATAATCTCAACCAGATTCTCACAGGTGCAGTGCAAGGAAGGTTTAATCCTTCGGGATGGGATGGGGAGCTGACCCTCAAGGCAGCTTGAGAAAAACCACATGAGATTCATGTTGAGTCCGACGGACCAACCGACTCAGCTTCTGCCCTACCCCTGGCGAGAGCCGAGCGGCCCCCTGGGCCAGGCGGAAATGCTCGCCGAAGCGCTTCCTCAACCCGCACCTCCGCGGCCAGCCCCTGCTTTCCCGAGGGCGCCCCAGACAGACACTCAAGAGAGGGAGACGCTCACCTTGTCCGTCATTTCTTCCATGGGGACGGCTAATTCCTCCACGAAAAGGACATCTTCATAGTCGGAATCATCTGTGGAAACATGCCCAGTTAGGAAGCTCAGTCTGTACGTGGAGACGCCCACCCTCCTCCATCCGGACGCCGTTTCTCCTTGGCCAGGGTTGGCCTCCCCGCCTGGAGCAGACCTTCCGTGATCTGAGGGAGAGGGAGGCCTTCCCTAGCTTGGCAACCCAAGAACCAGCTAACCGGGCTTGCCTGCCAGGGACGGAACCTCGGCCCTTTCACAAAGCGCTGGTCACCTGGGGCACAACGAGGTCTCCGCAATCCGCTGGAAGGACCAGGCGTTCTCTCCACAACCTCCCCCTCATTACTAGGATGGCCTGTCGGACAGACACCTTGGTCAGTTCATCCATGGGTGTCAACCGATCAGCCCACCGGATTAAATCAACACGTGTGTGTTAAGTTTTCAATATTTTACCATTGGAATTCAACAGTATGCAACGTGCAGCGTCCAGCAGCTCACAACGCCATGAATGGGTAACTGTTTTTGGGCAGCTGATGGCTCGTGAGATTCAGAGCAAAGAAAAAAGGTTTGTTTCATTGGAGTTTTTTATTTTGTTTTTAAGTTTGTGAGGGAGGGGTTGGTACTGCACATCCCAGCCACTAGAAATAATAATCCGAAACACGCCACTTCTCCAAGTTGCAAAAGTGAGTTTGTATTGGAAGCTTCAAAATGCTGTTGGAAATTCCAGGAAGTCTTAAAGTGCTCGGGTTTCAGAGTGCAGCCTCGCTCTCAAAATCTGAACGGCGCAAAGCAGGGAGACACAAGACACTCACCGAAGTCAGGCTGCAGAAGGGGGGGAGGTTTCAAAGGCCCCTCGGGAAGAGAGTGCTGTTCCAGGAACTTCGCCCGAGGAAAGAGGGTGGGGGTGACAGCAGGGGCTTCCTCCGCGTCCTGGGGATTGTCCTTCACGGGAGAACTGGAAGGAGAAAACAGACATCACCCTTGGGGGGGGGGGAAATCAGTCACGGAAGGCAAAGGCATTCTTTTCCTCCCATGGCTTAAAACCTCCTGCCATTCATTTTCACTGTTGTTGTTGTTGTTGTTGTTGTTTACAACTTTGTGTCCTTCTGTTAGCTGGCTACACCCCACGGTTTAACCCAGCCTTGCCCAGCCTCGCGCCCTGCTGCTACGAGGGACTACACCTCCCACCGTCCCTTGTGGGATCCTCTGCCAGAACAGCTGTTGGGAATTCCACTCTATCCCACGGACACCACACGGCAGAAGGACAACACCAGTGGATTTAAAATAGACACGGGAATTTGATTCAATGGATAAACAACGGTTGCCTGTGGGTTGTTTGTTTGTTTGTTTTGCACGGACAACACCAGTGGATTTAAAATAGACACAGGAATTTGATTCAATGGATAAACAACTGTTGCCTGTGGTTGTTTTTTTTGGGGGGGTTGTTTTGTTTTGGACATGAAATTATACCCCGCCTATCTGGTCGGTGAGGACCACTCTCACATGAAACTCTCACAGTCTTGCACTCTACTGGAATGTTTTCATTCATTTATTAATCATATTTATTTTTTTAAACTTCTAAAGAGCTCATCTGGCCAATGGTCACTCTGGGCAAGATACAACAATAAAACATTATAAACATACCATTCAAATAAGCCACGCATTGAAAGGTAGTGAAAGATTTTACTTTCTTGGGCTCCCTGATCACTGCAGATGGTGACAGCAGCCACGAAATTAAAAGACGCCTGCTTCTTGGGAGGAAAGCAATGACAAACCTTGACAGCATCTTAAAGAGCAGAGACATCACCTTGCCAACAAATGTCCACATAGACACAGCTATGGTTTTTCCTGTCGTGACGTATGGAAGTGAGAGCTGGACCATAAAGAAGGCTGACCACTGAAGAATTGATGCCTTTGAATTGTGGTGCTGGAGGAGGCTCTTGAGAGTCCCCTGGACTGCAAGGAGAACAAACTTATCCGTTCTGAAGGAAATCAACCCTGAGTGCTCACTGGAAGGACAGATCCTGAAGCTGAGGCTCCAATACTTTGGCCATCTCATGAGAAGAGAAGACTCCTTGGAAAAGACCCTGATGTTGGGAAAGTGTGAAGGCAGGAGGAGAAGGGGACGACAGAGGATGAGATGGATGGACAGGGTCACCGAAGTGACCAACATGAATTTGACCAAATTCCGGGAGGCCATGGAAGACAGGAGGGCCTGGCGTGCTCTGGTCTGTGGGGTCACCAAGAGTCGGACACGACATAACAACTAAACAACAGAACAGAACCATGAACCAGAATACTGGTTAGGCGTGATGTTAGCCCCACCCCACCCCCCAGGCGTACTAATGAAGAAGGATCTATCTATCCACATTGGGTCCGTCTCACTATTGTAGCTATGCAGAGCTTCCATGGTGAGAGGCAGTATACCTGTTGTTGCAGGGCAAACAGCAAGGAAAGGCTGCTCTTCCTCTCCTTTGTCTTAATTCTGGGCTATCCAGAAGGTGCTGACAGGACATTTGCTGAGCTGGTCCTTATGTCTGATTCGGCAACTCTTCTCATGCATTCGAAAGGCTGCTCTTCCTCTCCTTTGTCTTACTCCAGGGCTTTCCAGAAGGTCCCAACAGGACATTTGCTGAGCTGTTCTCATGCATTGTAAATGGCCCCCCTTTCTCCCTGCTGTCCCTCTCTGTGGCCACCAATTCCAGTTCAAGCTCCCTGAAGGAGCCTCCCCTTCCAAGCCTTCTTCAGAGGGATGCCCCCAGGTCGAGATCAAAAGGTAACCATCAAACTGAACCATGCAGGGGAACAAGAAGAAAAGACAAGGCTTTGCAGTAGCAACAGGGAGATACGGAAGTTCTCCCGTGGAATCTTGGAAACAAGGCTGGCTTTGGTCTGCAGCGCTCTGAATGTGGGACTTATCATCTCCCCCCAAAAGTCACTTTTCCTAGTTCTCGAGCTCCTGAGCCAACAGAAGGGGCACTCAGCTCTAGCACCAGTTCCCGGCAGTCGTCCTGCAAGGTGTTCATCCACCGACCCTCACGACAAGCGTCAAGGTTTCTCTCGGGCTGTTCTTGGTGGAAGCAGAACCTGGAGTGAAATCTGCCTTCTCTCTCAGTTACCACTTCCTCCCTTGCTTCCCTCCACCCTCAGGAAACTGTGCAAGACTTAGGGAGTGATTTCTTCAACCCTAGGAAAAGGGCAGGCTGGGGGATTCCCCTGGAAGCCAAAGAGATTTAAACGCACATGCAAACGCGCCTGTCCGATTTTGTTACTTCTGCAGGCGCCTTTATAGAAAGGTCCATTTCGAATGGAGGCCAAGCCCAAAAGGTCCGTATGATCTGACTTATGGGAAACAGATAGGAAAAGATAAAATGCTTTCCGAAGCAAAACAGTGAGGTCCCTGCAGATAGAAAACTAGCAGGTCAAGGGAGAACTTCTAGACCTCTGGCTCTGGATTGAAAGTGGGCGGAGAGCGAAAGGAAGCATTCATGTCCAGAACCGACTCCTTCAAGCTGTAGCATTCTGGGAACTGTAGTCCGAAAAAAAGTAACATTTCCAGCCTTGGAGAACATCTCAGCACATCAACGTGTGCTGAGACGTTCTCCGAACATAATTGATTTTTAAAAAATGAAATCAACATCGATGATTTTTTAAAAATCAAAATGAGTTAAATACAAATGTAAACCATAACAAGGATGATCAGGGGGCTGGAAACCAAGCCTTATGAGGAAAGGCTGAAAGAATTGGGCATGCTTAGCCTTGAGAAAAGAAGGCTGAGGGGTGACAGGATAGCACTTTTCAAATATTTGAAGGGCTGTCCTCCTACAGAGGAGGGACAAAATCTGTTCTCGATCTTCCCAGAGTACAGGATACGCAACCATGGGCTCAAGTTAAAGGAAGCTACAGATTTAGGGTGAGTATCAGGAAAAACTTCTCAACTGTTAGAGCAGTACGACAACAGAACGCGTAACCTCAGGAGTTGGTGAGTGCTCCAACCCTGGAGGCCTTGAAGAGAAAACTGGACCACCGTCTGTCGGATTTATTTTGATTCCCATTTGAGCAGGACGATGGCCTTCCAAGCCCCTTCCAACTTCATGCTTCTAGGATCCTCCGAAACATCCGGCTGGCAGCAGACGAAGAGAGATTCCAGAGATGACAGGCAATTTCATGACAAGGCAGAGCAGGGGGAGAGACCTCCACCATCAGGAGATTCCCAGATCACCAAGAGTCACCACGCTTTCCTCCAGAACGCCCCCCCCGCCCCCATCTCCAGCAAAGACGGCCAGTCCAACAGCCACGTTGCCAACCACGCAGCTCGGAACATCCACAAAGTTCCACGTTGATGACAGGACTGCAACAACCCCATAAATAAAGGGGGCAGACCCCCCTACTGATGTTTTCATACCTCCACTAGTGGAAGAGAGTTTTCTAAGACAGAAGTGAAGATGTTCACAGCAGCAGCGAGATCGAAATGAAGGAAATTCTTACGTGTTGCCTCTCTGTCACTAAGCCACACCAGACTAAACCATACGAGTTTTAACAAACTGCACAAATTTTTACATACACACACACACACACACACCAGGAAGCATCTTTATCTTTACAGAAAAAGATATGGGGCAGAACTTCATGTGGCTTCCCAGTATGAAACGGAAACTGGGGGCGGGGGGGGGTAGGTGATGCCCCTTGGCATTGTGGAAAATGTTGTTTTGCAATCTGGGCGATGAAAATACAGATTCCTGGGTGCGGTGAAGCCCAAACCAAGCTCAGCGAAGGAAGACACAACTGCCAGGGGCCTTTCTAGAAAACACCCCTTCTCACAAATCAAGCAAGGGTCAAAATCTGATCCGGCTCGCCCCCTGCAGCCAACAAAGTGGACCCCCGGCGGGAACCGGTACCGGCCACGTTTCTGTCCCTGCGCTCAGTGTGTGCCGAATGTTCACTTCCAATGAGCACCTCAGCACAGTGAGATGTGTAAAAAGCAGCTGCAGGCTCTCACCCCACGCACAACCTGCATTTGCAAAGAGAAACCATTAAGCAGGAGCGTCTGGGCCCAGAGGCAAGACGAAGGATAGAAGTACTAAAGCGTGCTGTAAAATACGGGACGAGGACTTGAAAAGCCGGTCTCAGATCCCTGCACCAGCACTAAACTCACAGGGAGACCATCACCCGTCATATGCTTTCCTTTCTATCTCTTTCGTTCTCGCCCTGGCCTACCTCACAGGGTCCTTGGGAGGACAGCACAGGTTGAAGGAGAGCTCTGTACTGTAGGTCAGGTGGAGGAAAGGGTGGGGCACAAATCTCACAAAGGAATAAAGGGAAGAAGATTGCAAAATCCTAAACATGACAAGAGATTCCTGCAAAACAGACACACACACACACACACAATGCTTTACAAGAAATGAGCAAGAAAGCTCACCAGGCTGGCATGCAGGGCGCAAACCTCTGGCCACATCCGGGTGGAAAAGACCAGCCAACCAAATTAAAATACAGTAAATGAGCTGCCCACCCTCAGCCCCCCCCCCATTGAAGGCTCAGCACCGGGCAGAATGCTAGGAGGAAGTAATTCTTCCAAAAGGCGAGGAGAGCCCATTCGGGAACTGGGCCAAGACAAAGTCCCAGGAGGGAAGAGTCTCTCTCATACACACCCACACACCCCAGGCTAGAAATGCTGCTCTTTTTTGGGGGGGGGGGAGTCCAGATCCTGACTCTTCTGCTATCTGTGCCAAAGCTGGGCACGCTGGATCAAGGGAGCAGCCAGGGAGGGGGGTTGTTTGTGTGTGTGTGTGTCAAATCTGAGAGCTCCGGGTTTACTCTCGTTCTTTCTCCCTCGGTTGTGATGGCCTCATCATTCCTCAGCAGCAGTCTCTATAGAAACCTCCGTCCTCCGTGCCTGAAACAATGAGCTTATGTTTTCCCTCCCAGCCATGGCTGGCCTTCTTCCTTCCCACCCCG